CTACCATGATGTCTTTGAAAAACAGAATGCAGACTCACTACCCCTGCATCATGTTTATAATTGTCCTGTCGACTTTCATCTCGGAGCCAACATTCAGTTTGGGTGTGTATATTCTATGTCTGAATCAGAGCTAGCAATATTAAGGGATTAGCTCCAGGAAAACCTAGCTAAAGGCTTTATCCACCGCTCTACCTCCCCCTGCAGGCACCCCATAACTTTTTGTAAAGAAGAAAGACAGCTCTCTGAGACTCTGTGTAGTATACAGGGCACTGAACCAAATAACTATATGAAATCGGTACCCCTTACTGTTAATCCCAGGGCTCCTGGACTGAGTACAGGTGTTTGCTAAACTGTACATTAGTGGAGCATATAATCTAGTTCAAATCAGGACGGGGGACAAGTGGAAGATAGCCTTTAGAACAAGTTACAGACACTTTGAGTATTTGGTAATGCCCTTTGGACTTACCAGTTCTCCTGCCACTTTCCAGCATCTGATCAATGACATATTTCAAGATATCCTAGACCAGTTTGTGGTGGCATAGTTAATGATAGTCTAATCTATTCCAGTAGTCAAGCAAGCCATGACCACCATGTCCATGAAATGTGAATACGATTGTGTCAGCACGGGTTATATAGAAAACTGGAAAAGTCTGTATGTGACCAATCATCTGTTGAATTTTTGGGGTTCATACTGTCAGAAGGCAGACTACGGATGGACCCTCAGAAGGTATCTGCATTTCAGGATTGGGCTGAACCTTGGAGCATCCAAGATCTCCAGAGGTTCATGGGGTTTGCCAGCTTTTACAGTTTATTTCAAACTTTCAAAGGTCACAGCCTCTATAACTGTCATCCTCCACAAATGTGCAAGGTTTCATTGGCCACTAGAGACCCACCAGGCCTTTGAACACCCGAACATAGCATTCACATGTGCCCCAGTGCTGGTCTCCCCTGATCTTAACCAACCCTTTGTCCTTGAGGCTGACACCTCTGATGTAGCCACTGGAGTGATACTGTCCAAAGAAACAGGGCCCCAGCATGAAATGCATCCATGTGCATGTTTTTCATGAAAACTCATCCCTGTTGAATGCTCCTTGTTCCTGATAACTACCATGCCTCATCCCTGTTCCTACTGCCTACCATGCCTGGTTCCTATTTCCTCACCTTGACCCCCATTGCTGACTCTGACACCGGCTTGACCCTTGATGGGACTTCTGGCTTTGACCCTTGGCTTTTCCACAACTCTGACGCTACTCCTGGCTCCAACTACTAGGTCAGACAGCCTACGTTACAGGCCCTTATGGTGTCAGTCAAAACCCGTTTTTTTCTTCTTATTTGGCACATTCATTAAAGTTCTTAATTTAAGCACTTTCATGTCCATGTAGCTGTGTTAGGTTCCCTCTATTTTCTGGTAAAGGAAGTTTGGTTTCACACCTTCATATTTTTAGGTTCACAAGTGGGATCTTAAAGCTTCATTTGTCAATCAAAATCCGTGTGGCCAATTGGAAACGGAAGTAAATTTTGGGTCAACTAATGGAACTGCCCTTTGAACCAATGACTACTACCTTATTGATTTTCTTGTTAGTTTGTCAAGTCATTAAATTCTTTTTGGACACAAGGAAGTCTTGCAGAAAAACAGATACTTTGTTAAGTTGAAAACACTGGCAAGAGCAAAAGTCTCAAAGTTTCAAAAGCAATAATCATCGTGTGTGTCTTGGCAGCACTTGTGGAGTCTTATAAGAAAGGTATAAAAACTGCTCCCTCATATTTGAGCACATTCTACCAGATCTGTTTCCACTTCATGAGCTGCGTATGAAGAGATCTGCATTGCAGTTAGTGTTTCTCTCCATACTTTCAAAAGAAAAATGCAGGTTGGACATCTAATTTTTCTCTGAGGTAACCTTTGGTGGGTGGGTTTTATAGACTGCTGACCTTCTTTGATTCATATGTTTCTAACTATTCTCTCTTTTGGGACTTGGACTGCTTGTGAATTTCTAACAGTTAGAGCCCTGTGAAATTGGGTTATTTATTTTTTATATATTTTTTTGTTTTTATTTTTGACATTGTTGTGTTATCTTGTTTTATCCACCCTGCCCCATCACCCATACTGCCACACCGCATCTCCCCACTCCTAACTCCCCACAACTTCTGCCTGAGCCCCAGGCACCCCAACTTCAATATCAACAGCCACTCCTCTCCCACGGGGCCCAGTGCCCAGCCTTGGCTGCCTCCCTCCACTCCATTCCATGGCACCGTGGGGAGAACCACACACCGCAATCCCCTTGCCAGGCAGGCTCAAAGGAGGCTGAGTGCCTGCTGACACCACCTCCTCACTGCAATGGCCCCCTTGCTTCTGTAAGTCATAGTGAATGTGGCTCTCTGTCTCATGCTCTTTGTGTTACTTCCAGCTCCTCCTGTCGACCTCTACCAGGCCCACACCCTCAGCACTCATTTCACATGTATGTAGGGTGGCCAGACAGCAAATGTGAAAAATTGGGACAGGAGGTGGTGGGTAATAGGAGCCTATAGAAGAAAAAGACCCCAAAACCAGGACTGTCCCTATAAAATCGGGACATCTGGTCACCCTACCTGTACGCAATGCATGCACATGACTCATGTGGGAGCAACCATTGGCTGGTGTGCTCCACTTGGCGGAAGTGATCCCATTAGCTCATTCGTTGCACCTCTTGGTCCTGCCATTGGCTACTGAATCTTCTGAGGGTGATGAGAAGCTTTGTTTTATAATGATTTATTTGTTTTATTTCATTTTTTGTGTAACTTTTTGCTTTATTTCATGTTATTTCAAAACACTGGGCTCTACCAGCAGTCTGTTCCAGTTGGATGCACAGGCGCCGACTCCATGGATGCTCTGGGGCTGGAGCACCCACGGAAGAAAATTGGTGGGTGCTCAGCACCCACCGGCAGCTCCCCTCCCCACCCCCCCGCTCCAGCTTACCTCCGTCTCCACCTCCTCCGCGAGCGCGCTGCCACGTCCTGCTTCTCCCCCTCCCTCCCAGCGCTTGCACCACGAATCAGCTGATTCGCAGGGCGGGGAGGGAGGGGGGAGTAGGAGGAATGCAGCATGCTGGGGGAGGAGGCGGGGCCAGGGCGGGAATTTGGGGAAGAGATCCAATAGGGGCAGGGAGGGGGCGGAGTTAGGGCAGAGACTTTGGGGATGGGGTTGGAATGTGGGGGCAGGGACAGGGAAAGGGTGGAGTCGGGGCGGGGGGCATGTGCACCCACCGGTGCTGGAGAAAGTTGGCGCCCATGGTTGGATGGACTACCTATGTATAAGGATAAGACAGTTTTTTCCTTATCTGTAAATTTGGATTTTTCCTTTCCTTTGTTAATATGCTTGCAGTATATTATAGGCTTTAAGGCAGGGATTCTCAAACTGGGGGTCGGGACCTCTCAGTGGGTCGTGAGGTTATTACATGGGCGGTCGTGAGCTCTCAACCTCCACCCCAAACCCTGCTTGCCTCCAGCATTTATAATGGTGTTAAATATATTTAAAAGTGTTTTTAATGTATAAGAGGGGCCGCACTCAGAGGCTTGCTATGTGAAAGGGGTCACCAGTAAAAAAAGTTTGAGAGCCACTGCTTTAAGGGTTAGAATTCTACTGATCTTGCAGTAGAGTTCTCTAGGGTGACCATATATCCCATTTTGGCTGCGGCAGTCCCTTTTTTAAGCCTTGTCCTGGGTGTCCCAACTTTTTTTTTCCAAAAGAGGCATTTGTCCCGTTTGCTCTTGCTGACTTGAACAGTTGGCAAGAGCAAACAGGAGAAATACCCACTTTTGGCAAAAAAGTGGTGTGTGGTGTGGAGGGAACAAACAGAGATGCCAGCCCCCCCACAGGGGGAAGGTAATCCTGGAGGGTCAGTAGCTGGAGGGGGTTCCAGCATGCAGGGCCCATGCAGGGTTCTAACCACCGGGGCAACAGCCTTGTGTGGGGGGCAGGAGGGCCCACAGGGTTCCAGCAACTGGGCAACAGCATGGGGGGTCCTTTGGGTGAGTGGCTGTGGGGGGGTCCCATTTTCTCTTTAGGTAATATGGTCACCCTAAGTTCTAGACATTGCCTTTGCTGTTATCTGTGAGCATGGCTACCCAAAAGGCAATTCCAGAACGGTATTTTTCCTGTTATGAAAAGGCAAATGTACAGGTAAAGATAAATTAACTTAATTAAAATTAACTTAAAATTAATTTTAACAAATTGCCTTTTGACTCCTTGTTACAGAGCCTAGAAAAGCAGCCCTCTAGACTAGGTTCTGTACTTCCTTCAACCATGGTGGAAAAGCAAAGTTTTCATCTATACTGACTCCCTTCCTACACTGAGATAGAAATCTAGTACAGACACTGGCTGGTTGCCTCTCTCTCCCCCCTTTTTGACTGGAATCTTGAAGTAATTATTTTCTCCCTGATGAGTTCACTGTCTTTCTCTTCCTCTCTGACAAGAGATTTCCCATCAGCTAGTTTAAATCTTCCTGTCTCAAACTGAACTCTGAAGTCCATTTTACAGCAACTAGAAACCCTCCCTGACTGCCCTGGACATAGAATCATAGGACGGGAAGGGACCTTGAGAGGTCATCTAGTCCAGTCCCCTGCACATGCTCTGGTCCCAATCTGAGTCCTGACAATTAAATTATAAACTAGCAGTCATGAGTGTCTTTCTGTTCATATGTTGTTACACCATGCAGTTCACCATGGTATTTCAGCACCTGGATGGGAATACATGCCCAGGTTCAAGGGTTTTCTGTATATTGGGACAAGCTGGGGTTTATATCTTCATAAAAGTCCCCTCTTGTCCCACTTCTCAGCTTCTAGAAATTCTGCTTGACCTTTAACACTACTGATGCTGCTTCTAACTACTAAAAGAGGTAGTATTCAGGTTTCAGACATCTAAAAATCAGTCAATATTCTAAATGCTAAATGAAGCTTGTTAACATAACAAAATTTAATTGAATAACTAGCACACTACTAAGTCAAATTCTTTATTTATTCTCTAGTTAAACAAGCTGCAAGATCTTCATCCATTGCCTATGATAATTTTAGAATACCGACAGGTGAGTTCATTTTTCATAAAGAACATATTTTGCATTGAAAGCAAGAATTAACAAAAATATAGCTTTACTACGCCACTTTTCTGAGAATCTTTTGGCTAGCATATGATTTCATGTATTTCTTTAAATAGTCTTAATATTTCTGCAGCAGTAGGTAAATTCTTAGTATGAGTTCAAAAATAGGTTTGGTTTGCACTATATTTTTTTCAGTTAACAGCTGGAGCCACAAATTTTTGTTAAATGTTTGTTGCACAATTTTAGAAAACTTCACTAACAAAATTGGTTTGGTGATACAGTGCACTGCTAATGAGAAAATCTGGACCAAGAAAAGAGCTCGAGATTGTAAGGGGCTAGATCAGTGGACTTTTTGATATGTTGCTATTTCTTATTTTTAGAATAGTCTGCTGACAGTCCATCACAGCATTAGTTTAGTCTGCCCATTTTAGTTAATAGTTGGGTTTTCAATGGATGTGTTTTCAGAGTAAAACTAAAAAATCAGTCTTTGGCTTCCTTGTGTCATCCTTTGTTTCTGCATCTCTGAGTGCCAAATTCTGAAACTTTCACACTGCAACACCTGTATAGCCAAATATTTAGACTAGAGCCAAATGTTCAATGCCATTAAATTCACTGTATTGAGCCATTATTGAATGTCTATCACCCTCGCTATTAAAAATGTTTTGCGGTATCTACACATTTTCTATAGTTGTAAATGGGTTGACTTGAAGAGTATGAGTTTCCACTCGAAAACCTCTTATAATTTAGATAATATATATAGAAAAAGTACTAAACTCTTTTTCTAATTTAGGTTCACAAGATAAAGTCAACCTATGTGGATGGACTACTTTCATGCATGAAAAAGGTAAGAATGCAAAAAAGCTCCCCCTGTAAATTTGTGTATTTCTGTATAAGATGGTTTGAAATAATTCTGAAGTTTTTAAAATTATAATGTATTTTTATTAAAAATATAACCCTTATTTTTACTTATATGGAAATATTGATAACATAGTATATATAAGCTTTAGAGTAAAATTTCATTTTCACATCTTGACTTCTGCAACAACTTATCACAGGCTTTTATATTTGGATTTTTTTTTTACTTCACTAAAGGGATTTATTTCATCTACATGGAATCAGACAGGAACTGTGACTGGCAGACTTTCAGCCAAGCATCCTGTAAGTGAGTCTTTTAGAAGCCTTTTTCATTCAAAGAAAGTGTGGTGAAAATGCATTTCATTGTAAGCCATGTCCAATAGAGGGCTCCAGGTCAGCTAAATGGAAATATACACTCCATTTACATAATTTTGCTTCATGCTGTTTAATATGCATGAAAAATTCCAAACTAGTTTTCCTTTGGCTATCAGAGGGATCAAAGAACTAGTAATTGCAATATTGTATGTAGATGGGAGATAGGAACAAAATATATTGTTAAGTGGGTATTGCACTTTAGACAGAGATTACATTAAATAATATTGACAACTACTTTTAGAACAGAGTATAATATTCATTGCTTAGCTTTTAGGTTACAAAAGAGACAGAGATATTAGAAATCCTCAGTTCTGAGCCATGTAGCCTCTGGTTCCTGATATTGTTAGAGCAATTACTGAAGACTTTTGACCTGAGGTACAACCATTGTGCTCTGCAAGGACAGCAAATCACACCCACACCTTGTAACATAACCCTCCATGCCTTTAAAATCAATGCATAAGACAATACTTTTTCTTTGAATTTCTGTCTCATTAACTTTGTGTCATTTCAGTATCTTTATATTTATTCGATTTTTTTTCTTTTCTTTTTAATTTTATACCATAATTCTTTACTCCTTGTGGTTAGAGCTGTAGATTGCCTAATCACGTCCATTATATAAACTCCTGTTTTCAGTTGTTCCTAATTTTCCAAAACTTTCATCTTTTTAGGTTGAAATTCTGAGGCCTGGTCTCTGGTTCAGGGTGACTTTTTTATTTAAAGGGCTTGGTAAAATTAATCTGTCATTTGTTTAGATTGCAGAGAGTGACTGGATTTGACTTTTGAGTCTGACATGTATTTGGTTTGTGACATCGGTCAAGTTCCATAATCTCCCTTTCCCATTTGTGAAATGACAGTATTAAGGGGAGTTGGGATCTTTCTACTGAATAGGTCAGCCTGCCATTGAGCCAGTATCTGCATCCTTCTGGGGTTTGCACGTCTTAGGTCATGTCAACTTCACTGGGCCAATAAATGATATACCAAAAAATAAATATGGATCAGATCTTATCAATATGAATGTTTAAAATTAATTAAAATTTTGCTATCTGATTCTGACATTGTAGTGTACATGTACAGCCAAAAGGAGAAAAGGTTGAACCTGGTTAAATGTATTTAAAATAATGTGCCACAATTATTGCTAATAGCTTTGAGGAATGTAAAGATTAAAGGATGAGGGAACTAAGGCAGAAACCTAAAGAGAGATCAGCACTTAGCACATATATTTAAGATGTGCTAATTGTTCTTACAGACCCACTTGCATTAGCAGAAGAAAAGTATTTCATTTTACATTGAAACCTAACTGGTTTTCTAACTTAATTATGGATATCTTGAATTACTAAATCATATTAAATGTGATTACTTCTTATGACATTGATGGGACCACATAACTACCTAGATAGACAGAAACTTTCAAGAGACATTTATACAAAACAAATATCTTGGTTCTAATAGCACTGTCATGTCTTTTAATAAATAAAACTAATTTGATTTCTGTTCATGCCTTTTTTAAGGCAGGGAACATGTTTGCTTATAAGTGCACTGTGTATGTGAAGTTTTTAAAATGTTTTCAGTATGACTTCTCTAACATTACGAAGTATCTTGTGCATGTTTCTTGCACAGCACTGTATTTTTAGACATTTTCATTGTCAGCATTAGATACCCCCAGCCAATTTATATGGTATGTTATGTGGCAAACAGTAGAAGGTTATGCATTTTTAACCTGAGCTCTTCAAAGTATATAAATGGAGGGACGGTAGGAGAAAATAGTGTTTTTACACTCTAGCATTCAAAATTATCTTCATTTTATGTTGATTTACATTTTACTTTTCATGATTTTGGTTTATAAATGTTTGTGAAAAAGCATGTATGTCTGACATACTGAAGTCAGACAAATGAGCTAGCAGAATGTTAAAAGGTTCTTAGTTATTCTGTCTGTGACACAGTATAGTTCAACTAAACATAACATTTTTCTTTTGTATTTCACAGTAAACTGATACTTGCATCATAGTATGTATTAACACTATGACCAGAATTTCCAGAAGGACTGAGCACCCAGAAATGGGGTCAGAATTTCAAAAAACACTCTGCTGCCCTTTAGGCACCTAAATAACAGCCAGCACACTGCAACTCTTATTGAAAATATTGAAATGATGGTCCCAATTGTTGGTGCTGAGCACTTTTGAAAATCTAGCCAATATCTTCTCTCCTGATTCTAATAAACAAAACAAAAATTTTCCTATAGTTTCCATAAATATACAACTAAATATTTTTGCAATGATCATCAGCTTCTGTTTTCACCATTATACAAAAATATTGAAGGGACAACTATACAGGGTCTAATTTTGACCAGGACCTCACAATGTGCTCCCTTATGTGAGGTTAGTCTTACTGTACTACCACCATGTTCTTATCAACTGTGCAAATTGTACCATTACTTATGCCTGCAAACTATGGGTTTAAAGAAGGCTGAGTTTTAAAAATCTGATCCATTTGTGTTTTCTGTGTTAAGAGTATAAGGCATAAAAGAAACTGATGGGCATTTTGTCTCTCATGTTCGCATCTCCCATCATGTGCATTCTTGAGATTATCACAAGACATTAGTCAGGACTGCACAGCATCTTTAATACTTCAACAAGGAACAGGGATACACTTCTTCGTTTTTCAGGTCAAGTCTAGGATTCCAACCACCCCCTCCCCCCAAAAAACCCCAATACCCCACTAAAAAGTAAGGAGTAACAATGTAATGAAGAATTTACTTGCCTGCATTGTCTCTTCCTATGGTTTGTGGTTGGTCAGACACACTGCCAGTTCGTGATGCTCCCATTCAGCCTAGTGACAGTACCAAAAGTGTTTACAAAGTTCATGGCAGTAGTCGCAGCCTACCTCAGATGTCAAGGTATTCAGATCTATCCTTATCTCGGTGACTGGCTCATCAAGGGCCTCTCCAAAGAGCAGGTGCAGTGCAGTGTCACGACGTTGTGAGTCACTTGTCAAGCTCTGGACCTGTTGATAAACGAACAAAAATCAACATTGGTCCCTCTTCAGAGGATAGAGTGCATAGGAGCTGTCCTCAACTCCATGCAGGCCAGAGCATTTTTACCACAGGCCAGGTTCAGGGCAATGTCAGATCTGATCTCCCAAGTCACCGCACACCTGCTTACCACAGCTCGGGTCTGCCTCAGACTCCTAGGGCACGTGGCTGCATGCACCTATGTCATCCGGCACACAAGGCTGCGGCTAAGGCCCCTTCAAATGTGGCTGTTATCAATCTATTCCCCAGCCAGACACCCTTTGGACAGACTCTTCACGATCCTGCCCCAGCTACTCACCTCCCTCCAATGGTGGTCCAACCCAGATCCGGTGTTGGAAGGTGTTCCGTTTGCAATTCCACAGCCCACAGTATCTCTGATGTTGGATGAGTACGACCTCAGTTGGGGTGTGCACCTCAGTGCTCCCAAGACTCAGGCTATGATTGTGAGAGTTGTCTCTTCACATAAATGTGAGAGAGCTCAAGGCCAGCTGCCTGGCTTGCGAGATATTCCTTCCCCATCTGTCTGATCGTGTGATGCAGGTGCTGACAGACAACACGGCCTCCATGTTCTATGTCAACAGACATGGGGGAGCCCGCCCATCAATCCTTTGTCAGGAAGCCCTTGGCCTGTAGGACTTCTGCATCCAGCATGCGATCTACCTGGAAGCCTCCCACCTCCCCAGTGTTCGGAACACACTGGCAGATTACCTCAGCAGGTCCTTCTCTCACCACAAGTGGTCCCTCCACTTGGAGGTCATCAGGATGCTCTTCCAGAGGTGGGGAGCTCCCCAAGTGGACCTGTTCATCACCAGGCAGAACAGAAAATGCCACCAGTTATGCTCTCTGCAAGGCCTTGACAGTGGCTCACTATCCAATGCCTTTCTCCTGTCGTGGGTGGGCACTCTGATGTATGTCTTCCCGCCAATCCCTCTGATCAGCAGGGTCCTTTCCAAGATCAAGAAGGATAAGGCGCGGGTCATTATGATCTCCCCGGCCTGACCTCATCAGCATTGGTTCATGACGCTCATCGACTTGGCCATAGAAACAACATGGCCTCTTCCTGACCACCGGACCTGCTTTCTCAGGATCACGGGTGGTTGCTGTACCCAAATCTCACCTCTCTTCACCTCATGGTGTGGTTGCTTGGTGTCTGAACTCTGAGGAGCAGGCCTGCTCCAGTCAGGTGCAGCAGGTTCTTCTGGAAATCAGAAAGCCCTCCACTAGGGCTACCTACCTCACAAAGTGGAAGTGCTTCTCCTGCTCGGCATCAGAGTGGAATATCTTCCTGGTCAGCGTGTCTCTGCAATCCATCCTGGATTACCTCTTGCATTTAAAGCACCAAGACCTTGCCTTCTCATCAATCAAGGTGCACTTGATGGCCATATCGGCCTTCCACCCTCACATCCAAGGTAGATCGGTATTCTCACATGAGCCTCCTGAAGGGCCTTGAGACACTGTTTCCTCCAGTCCAGGATCCAGTTCCCCAATGGGATCTCAACCTGGTCCTTTCCATGCTCACTGGTCCTCCTTTCGAGCCTCTGGCCTCTTGCTCTCTCTCGCATCTCTCATGGAAGGTCGTATTCCTTGTAGCTATTACCTCGGCGAGGCAAGCCTCTGAGATTAAGGCTCTTACGTCAGAGCCCCTGTACATGGTGTTCTACAAGGATAAAGTCCAATGGCGTCCCCATCTTGCCTTCCTGCCAAAGGTGGTGTTGCACTTCCATGTCAACCAGGACATCTTTCTCCCAATTTTCTGTCCAAAGCCCCACGCGTCCAACGAGGAAAGGCGTCTACACACCCTAGACATCCGGCATGCCCTGGCTTTCTACCTTGTGTGTACTAAGCCTTTCCGCAGATCGACTCACCTCTTCATTGCAGTGGCTGACAGAATGAAGGGCCT